GTTATTGAATCAATTGAACTTTGTAAGCTTGACGATGCAAATCTTTCGTAAGAATACGCTGTACAGAGCTCCTCGAAATGTCAAATTCTTGACCACGGTGCAGAATTGATGTTTCCTAGACTCTCAGCAACATTCTCACAAACTGTTTCGATGTTTTGCGGTGAACGACTTGTTGAAGGACAGCCAGAGTGTTTAAGATCACTAATTGATCCAGTATCCCTGAATTTTTCAATTAATCTCTTCACAGTAGATGAAGTTAAATCACCATTCCGACCACATTTTGTAGGAAAATTGTAAACAGTAGCTGTCAATCTTCATTATTTTTGTGCATATGTGAGAGATCTCAATTTTTTTGGTTTGTTTGAGCAGTATGTGATTTAATAAACATTGCTTCTTCAGACTTTTCAATAAGAAAGAATATGGTTGAGGAAAACCCAAATATCACTATAGCACGAAATGTTCTCGAACGTTTTTTTTGCATGTACAACAACTTTATCCGTTTTACTTTCTTCCAGTACAAAATTTAGTAGAACGTGACTTGTTGCCAAGAGCATATTATTGTGAAAATGTATTGAATCATTGCAGGCAGGGTCCAGATTTTGCTTAAGAAATCTTTTTCACGAATGAAACAACGTGCACTAAAGGATGTGTATTCAATGTTAAAAATTCCTACTGGATGTTTAGACTCGGCATTTTCAACATGAGTTTAAAATGATTAGATTATTTGGTTTGGAATATTTGACGATCATTTAATTTGCCCTATTGAACATCCTGACAAACTTAAAGTAGAACATTATTTAAACTTTTTCTGTAAGGATTTATTCGAGTTACTGGAAGATGTACCACTAATTGTAAGTATTCGTCATGACATGACATGTGGTATTTTCATGATGGAGTCCCGCCTCATTATCCGTTGGAAATTCGGGATCATTTGAATATTGTTTTTCTCCACCGGTGATATGGACGAGACAGATCTTCAAATAAACTCTCGATGTTTGTAAGCACGTTGTAGAATTTTTGAATATGCATTCGTTAAATAATACTAGAGAGTAATTAATTACATATAATTTTTATCTTTTACGATTTTGGAATAAATGTAGATAATGCTTTTGTTTTACTTGAAGTTAAAAAATAATATACAACCGACCAATACGACCCTGCAAAGTGAAAACGGTGAGACTTAGACCCTTGCTTTATAAGGCAATTCTGAATTATTTATTGAATTCTATTTGTGGTTAAATTTAGATTCACTCGAACTGAAGCACCCTATATAGATATTATTGTGCCTGGTTTTTTATTACTATATTTATTATTAGTTTTTTTACACCGACTATATTGACGTCTTTGATTTCCTCCATAATCAGCTACATACAACAATGGTACCAAACTGTTTTTGTCGTACCCAATTTCGGCCCCTTTTTTAATTTAGACAAAGAAAACGTCTATAACGTTTTAATTTTTTTAGAAAAATATTATTTTACTTGAAAAAATCTGTAGGGTAAAAAGCAACAATTCAGAAAAAATCCAATTGTAGCAGCTACAGAAATAACAGGAAATAGGTATCAGCTATCTCTTTTCATAAGAAACATTATTTATAAGAAACATTAATTTAAATCTAAAGATAACATTAGTCTTCTTGATGTATTGTTACTACAAGCTGATTCATCTTTCAAGGGCAAACATTTTTTCAGTCACTATCACCTTTTCCTGCTATTCAAAACTTGTATTTTCCAAGAAATAAGGTTCCAGGTAACAAAAACGTGTTAGTTTTAAGATATTAAAAAAAAGCATTATCAATAGGTCATCTTTAAACTGCTGTATCTTGAATGATTCAATATCGACCGCTAGTTCATTTGAACTTCTTTATGTCAATTTTGATAAAAGAACACCCTGTAGAAGTTTAACAGTCGAATTAAAAACACTGTATAATTTTGCTCACATTTTGCTTCAAAAATATTTTTCTAAAAAAAAAAACAAAATTTAGAAATTCAGTAACAGTGTCAAATATCGTATTTTTTTAGAACATTTTATGACAAAATTAACTAATTGCTGATATTTTATTTAAAAAAATTGTTGAACAATATATGCCTTATAGTAATGAAACAATTTTATTGTATTAATTAGGATTTCCACATATCATATACAACTTATTTCTGAAAATTTGAGGATTCTGAGAAGCATTGAGTCACTTGCACGAATGAGGAAATAAGCCCTTGAGCTGGCAAACATCACAGTTTTTATTGGGTTCTAAATTTAGATAATAATTTTAAGTACCATGGCGCCATGAGTTAACTATCTGCTACCTTTCTCCTGTACCTGTTTAACCTTGTTATTATTATTGTTATTATTATTGTCGTGTTCTGAGTATTAGCAAAACTGAAAGGCGTCCAAAATTTCTCTTTTTAATATGCTTCCTTTCGTGAAAATTGATGTTTAATTTAATCTCTCTGGCCCAAAAACCTGATCACTCTGTACAAGAGTTTTCACATAATATTCAAACCACTTTTTGTCTTTCGGTCTAGAAAAAATAATGAGGACCAAAATTTTAGGAAATTGCCTTGCAATTTCAAAGAAATACACAGGGTGTCCCAAAATGACCCGAACTACCACTGAAGATGTCACAGTGAAGGACGGCAAAACGTTTGAAAGCATTGGATGCGACCAGTTGCAGAAGCCACTAGGCCTCAGAGAATCACCATTGCCCGAGAAACGGTTCCGTCCGTTCTGTCTTAGAACCAGTAAGAACCGAAATGAACATCAGGGTACATGATAGTTAAAATTGCATTTACAAAAATAATTATTGATTTTTTTTTCTTTGGTGAAAAATTTAGAATTATTTTCGATATATTCAACTGTAGGTAAATCTATTTAATAATAAAGCACAAAATGCACTCGTTTTTGAAATAAAATTGATATATTTTTTCCTTCAAGCATAAATGCGAATCAAGTGAACCTATAAAATTTTCAAAATACTCAGTGACGTCGAATTTCTGGGGTTATTAACGGTGTCTTCCGATATCTCCGCCACTGGTTAACATAATTAATATAAATTCAATTAATTTTTACCTCTATTTAATCAAGTCCTCAGCCCAAGTTTTCTTATTTTACGTCAAACATCTTCAGAGATATTTTTGCCTCTACGTAATATTTTTCAAAAATGGTTGAAAAAAAAAGTTTGCAGTTAATTTTTTCTCCAAATTGAATAAGAATTTCGCCATTTAATTTTTCCTACCATTTCTGGGACACCCTGTATACATGTCATATATTTCCTTTGACGGTATGTAAAGGGTGGTTAATTTTCGATAGTTTTATAGGATACAGTCAAAATGATGATAGATATAAAAAATCTGATATCGATGTACCGTCCTCTTCTTTTAAGTTTACTTCGTTGGTACCAAAAGATCTTGGCTAACTTGATTAGTTTTAGATATACAGAGTTTTTTTGAAAAATCGGCCATTTACATTAACCTCTCTCTCTCTCTCTCCGTTGTCATTAAATTTAAAAGAAAAAGGTTAGAACATTATTTGTTATATTTTTTATGAGGAAGCCGTTGGTGTACTTAGATTTTTTACAAAACTCACAGTTTTCCTGATATTACATAAGCATAGTTTTTTTAAAATAAAACACCCTGTATTTGGCTATTTACTAATTCTTGAGAGTAAATAATAATCGAGATAGCCATGGAACAAATGGATGTATAAGCTTTAAAAGTTACTAGGCATACCTCTAAATTCTTTATTCAAAAAAATATATCAAATTATAAAAAGTGTTCTTTACATTCATTCTATAGGAAAAGAATTCTATATAGGTATATTCCAAGCTACTTTTTTTTAATTGCCTGTTATCAACCTTATGGATGGTGTTGTACTAACCTCGTCTAAAATTTACTCCTTCAGATCATATACAATTTTAGGTTCTTTTTGTTTATGTTCTCTTTCAAAGTTATCCACCATAGGAAGAACTATGGTGGTTAAATCAGAACTTATCGCAGATCGTAAAATTATTCCTATAATTAAAATANGTTTATGTTCTCTTTCAAAGTTATCCACCATAGGAAGAACTATGGTGGTTAAATCAGAACTTATCGCAGATCGTAAAATTATTCCTATAATTAAAATATCCCTTGTCTAGAAAATGATGGGGATATTATAAAACATCTTTTATAGTGTAACATTTTTTCTCATTGAAAAATTTTAAGATTCTCCTAGTTTCGCACAATTGCAAGAAAAAAAAGAGAAGATTCCAAAGAACAACAAATATGCAGTGTGTTCCGATTAAAAGACACAATTGTGATTTATATCCTTGAATCGTTACATTCAACTGTTTTTAGTATAGGTGCTTTTTTGAGATAGCAAAAAAATTACTAAAATTTCAGTCTATCATTTTTTTCTAGAGAGTAAAATGTGAATACCTACACATCCAATAGCAGTTGTAAAATTAATAAACGGCCCACAAACTATTTGAAAAACATTTTATTTAACTACATATAATCAAATCCAATAACTAGTAACATAATATTCTTACTTACTTACTAAAGGTATCTTTATCACAGACAAATAAATTACAAACTAAACATTTTACTATACAGGGTCGGAAAGTCCCCATGGTTCATCGGCCGTTACGTGAGAGCGATAAAGAAAGTCAGCATATGGTACTTTCTGTGGGAGATTGTGAAAGATAAATAATGACAGATTAAATCATTTGATTTAAGAGAGAAAATATTAAACGAAGTTAGTACTGTCAATGGCTTGAGGAAGAGGGCATTACAAAAAAAACTTGCTTGAAGTATTGTTCCTCGGGCCACCCTCATAACATTTTTATTTCTGGAGTCTAATAGTCACCGCCCATTTCGCCCCACAAATAAGATCCACTTCTTATTTGTGGAAGACGCCTTCATTATAGCCATCTTTCTCTATCGCACGGATTTCTATGACTTACTTTATCGCTCTCACGTAAAGGCCGCTGAACCATGGGGACTTTCCTACCCTGTAGGTACTATTTATGAACAACCTGTAATGGCTTTTATTGAGAAATCCGTCAGCTTCCTCGGCTTCTTCTCCACGGGTTGTACGACTTCATGAGGGGAAAACATGGTCGCCTGATAGTAGAAATGTGAGGTAGCACCCCAAACTCCTGGATAAACAGGATAGTGAGGATAATAGTAAGGATACAGGACAGACGTTGGTAGAACTGGTTTATAACTGTAAGGAATTGGATAGTTCTGTGGGGACTTGGGAGAAATATCGCTACGTTGGGACCAAACTTCTGGAGAAGATGGTGCTGAGCTTTGAGAACAAACAGAAATTCTATCGTCTTCAGACTTTGGTGAAGGTGGTAATTCCACCCTAGCTTCTTTCTTCGTCGATTCCTCACTTTTTTCCTCCAAAACTCTCTTCCTCTTACACTTGGATTGCCCGTTCTCCCTGAACCCTTTGGCGAAGGGGTTGTTGTCGATCTTCAGCTTGGTGATCCTCTCGTTCTGGTAAGCAGTCACGGCGATGAACTGGGTTTCTGGAAAAGCTACCGATACTGAGGGCGCCCAAGCGACCGCTCTAGGATCTGAAGTCTTGGCGATGATTATTCTAGGCTGGTATTTGTGCATGGAGGATAACACCAGGTGACCCGCAGGTGGTGCTGGTGTGTTGGTAAGCTTCAGCCTACCGAAGGAGATGGGTTGAGACATCCAGTACTCCCCGGTAGCGGGAGATTCAGGGTGTAGGTAGATTCGTTGGGGGCTTTGGGCTTCTTCGGCACCCGTTGGCGCCCAACCTCCGGAGTTTGAGTACTTATAACGGCAGTGGGAGGCGGCGGTCAGTTCTAGGAGGATGCAGTAGTGGGCGTGGGGGTCTAAGTTGGAGACCTGCACGTGGAGGGACGGGAACATCCTCCTGAAATACAAAAAACGATTATTAATAGTTGTAATATAATCCTGTTTGTACTTTAAACATCTTAATATGTACATAAGTTTTGAGTCTACATATCATTAGTGTTTTAAGAATCTATTTGACAATTTGATTTTTTGCAATATGTCACAAGTATACAACAATAATGAACTTGTGGACATGATTTTACGCGGAATGTATTCAAAATTCAGTACAAGCATCTCGGCCCAATGTAGAGCAAAGAAAGGAAAAAGGAGGTCGTGGAAACCATTCCAAACGAGCTCGGAGAAGCCGTATGTTACAAATTGAGGAAGAAATTCTTAACATTTTTGAAGAACAGTTAAAAAGTAACACCAAACAAATTTGCTGCAAAATTAATGCATCCCACAATAAAGTTTGGAGAACTACACATTAACTAATTGTGAACTAAGAAGTTATACTTGAAAGAAAAACCAAGAGAATCAATCGACAGTAAGTAGAGTTCAATTAAATCATTTTAAAGGGTTGATAAGGGATGATGCACCATCAATATGTGAATTTTTTAGCCCGTTGGTGTATTTAAAATATTATTACTTTATTTTATGAGGAATTTAATTTTAAAAATTTTCTTACGCTTGTTAAAAAACTGTCGTTTTCAACAGAAACACGAATAACTAATAAAACGTATAGCTGTTATTTAAGATAATCGAAAATTCAAAAGTTGGTTATAAATTTAAACGTCAAATTTGACAATCAGAAAAAAAAGTTGGAATAAGAATAATTTTATAGAAAAACAAACTTATAGCCCAGTCATTATAGACATGAAAGAGCCTGTTTCGGGAAAAAAATACTATTTCTCTGCGGAATATTGTTCGGAAACCTGTTATAAATAAAATATCAAAAAATCAACTCGAGGCTAGTTGAGAAACTTTGTTTTAACAGTGGTCACAGTTATGGAAAAGTGGTTTTTGGACTCACGTAAAAAAGATATTATTCATAGCGAAAAAAAGTTTATACAAAAAAGGTAGGTATTAAATAAGCCTATAAAATGAAAAAATTCCGATTAAATTCCGATAATTTGTTTATGCACAAGAGGTCAAAAATGGTCGAAAATTGTCGTTTTTTCAATTGCTAATAATTAATGCAATTTTCATCGCAGACACTTGTAATTCAGGATTTTTGAGGCTTTTTACACCCTTAATAAGTGGTAAAAATTTCAGCTCGAAAGCTTCATTGGTTTGGCGTTGGCGGAATTTGTTATCTAAGAAGATGCTATTTTCAATTCATTTTTCCCAAGCTCACAGGCGTTGTAGGGTTTTGATCATTAGTTGTTTTTGTACCTAAATAGTTGTATTGACATAGGCATTTACTGAGAATTTAGTTTTTCAAATTTAATTTGTTTAAAATTGACTGAAAAAATGTTAATATTTATTAAATTGTTAAGATAGGTAATTATTATAAAATAAAATAGTAACCTCTTTACTTTAGTTTTCTTCGAATTTAAAAAAAAATCGTTGTTGTAAGTTGATTAGAAGCTGAGATAATTTTTTTTATTTATTTAATCGCAGTGACCTTAATTATTAATATTAAGAGCCGAAATTTGGAGAGAGTATACATTAAGAGCTATATTTTCATGTCCTACATTAACATTAAGGTGAATTCAACTATTTAATTTCGAAAAAGAAGATAGCGGCGATGCGTTCTATTACTTGGTCTAGCGAACGAGTGGGGAAGGCGAGGCTTAGCATGCGCGCTTAACGATGTAATAAATATTAACATTTTTTCAGTCATTTTTAAACAAATTAAATTTGAAAAATTAAATTATCAGTAAATGCATATGTCAATACAACTATTTAGGTACAAAAACAACTAATGATCGAAACCCTACAACGCCTGTGAGCTTGGGAAAAATGAATTGAAAATAGCATCTTCTTAGATAACAAATTCCGCCAACGCCAAGCTAATGAAGTTTTTGGGCTGAAATTTTTACCACTTATTAAGGGTGCAAAAAGCTTCAAAAATCCTGAATTACAAGTGTCTGCGATGAAAATTGCATTAATTATTAGCAATTGAAAAAAGCGGACAATTTCGACCATTTTTGAGCTCTTGCGCATAAACAAATTATCGGAATTTAATCGGACTTGTCTTATTTTACAGATTTATTTAATACCTACCTTTTTTGTATAAACCTTTTTTTCTCTATGAATAACAGTTTTTTTACGCCAGTCGAAAAACTACTTTTTCATAATTTTGACCATTGTTTTAACAAAGTTTCCCAACTAGTCTCGAGTTGATTTTTTGATATTTTGTTTATAACACGTTTCTGAACAATATTCCGCAGAAAAACTTCTAATAGTATTTTTTTCCCGAAAAAAAGCTATAATGATTGGCCTATTAAACAAGCAGGTGCATGCATCTAGGGGAACATACTATTTTTATTTACGTTTTTAGAGAAACCATAAATTACAATATTTGTTCATTTAAAATCTGTACGTTCTCTGATTTCATCGCTTTCCTTAATTCTGAATTATCGATTTCCAAGCAAAATTTTTAAATAGGTATCTGTTTATTACACCTGCTAGCGAATTGTGAAGTGTCTCTACGTCTCTATAGACTGAAAACCATGTGCAATCTTTTATGGGTGTCTTACGATTTCCGTTCATCTGAAGTTTACAATGTCGTGGTTCTAAGTAATGTAAGTTAAAAATTGAAAAACCATTTTTTTTCTTAGAAACATCCCAAAAGCATCAAAATTATTACTCACTTTTTTTTTAAATAAATAATAATAAATTCCATATGATACCAATATCTAGCAATGGAAGCATAACAAAATTAAAATTGTTAAATACATATTTTAAAAAGAAACGTCGTTCCTAGTTTTGAGAACTAAGATTGTTTTTCCAAACGTTAACCAACAATAAGTGAAGCCTACGTGATTTGCTGATATGTATTTTTATAGTTTCATGAAACAACGGTTGATTGATTCTTTTAAGGGTTTATTTAATGTATTTTTTTTCACAGGTAGCAAAATACTTCCCTGGATATTAAAGTAAAATTGTGCTAGAGATAAATAACTCTAGAGAATAACTTATGCCAAATTCAAAAAGAACTTGATTTAGAAAGCAATATTTGCAATGTGAATATGACCAGAAAAGACAATTCAACGAATAAGTACTAATTTCTGTTTACTTTCCTTTTGGCTCCCTCTCTGTCAACTTTAAAAGGTAGCAGTAAACGCCGCACCTATTCTCCTCGGTACACAGACAAATTAAAATAAGGGATTGCTTCCCTAAACACTGTGAGAATGTTTGCAAAGCGCTTGATGCTACTGATTCTCTGCGAAGGGACAATGCTTTGCGGTCTTTCGGACAATGCCCAGATACTTGTTGCATCCCATGTGTGAAAACACCTATTATCGGGCTGCGCAAGTGACGAACTCATACGGGCACCTCTGCGTCGGCCCTTTTGAAGGGACAAAGGCTTAGATCGGGGTGGCCGGTAGCCGGTCCTTTTGCCGAGGATAAGTCGAGTGTTAAACGCGTTAAAAGACGCCGGGATGGACAATGGTGACTTTGTCTGATGTCTGCGTCCTGTGGTGCCGACAGGAGCCGTCCCACTTACGTAATTCAGGCGCCCTTCATTTTAAGGACTAAAAAAGGATCGTTTTCGGTAGTGATTTGAATTCATGTCGATACGGCGTCTTAGGAAAATTAAGTCAGGTGATTGTTTAGTAGAAAAGGTGACAGAAGCACTGAGGACACACTTGCCTGTATCAGTATTGGAAGTGTTTTGACTCAATTTTTTCTAAAACAACGAAATACGTTTAAAAAATTATACTATTTTTTTTTAATTAAAATATACTACTAGTAATACAGTAGAACCTCGATAATCCGAACTAATTGGGACCGGGGGTGGTTCGGACTATCGAATCGTTCGGATTACCAAACAAAGTGCTTTCCAGGCATAGTAGCATGCAAAAAATGAACACTGACATACTATTTCCCATAAAATAAGGAGCACGTTGTATTGTTAAAGGTACAAAATAGTTTGTTTTATGAAATACATACTACTACTGTGCTACAGTAAGGTAACTATATTTTATGTAAAGTATTGCAGATGAATTTCGTAATATTTGCTATTGATGTTCTGTTTACTGTAGCAGTTAGAGAGCGATTCTGATTACATATTATTTTTATTTTTCCCAAAATGGCGTTCGGATTATCGAGCGTTCGGATTACAGGGGTTGGGATTATCGAGGTTCTACTGTAATATAATATTTAGAAATAAAATAAAAAATGATATTGTATACTCTAAATATTATTAATATACAGACAAACATCTGACTGTGAAATTGTTAAATAATGTAAACTTTCAAGGTCAACTCCTTAAAAATAGCCACTATAGGAAAGTATTACTCTTTCCACATTTCATTAGGATTGTTTCAGATGGCTTCCTTGCAAATTTTATTTTAGAAAATTGTTAATTATTAGCTGTTTAGTAGTTTGTTTCCCAGAATACCAGCAGTTAGAAATTTTGTCTGTCAGGTTAGATTAGGCATGAGTTGCTGCGTTTGATGATTAAACGCGTTTTTATTGTTGACATTTATTTCTGCCATGCCTCACATAATAATAAAAATAATAAGATAAGACAATAAGTGCTAAAAAACATACTAAAATGACACATCGATACAATAACAATTAATAATTAATTAATAGATATGCACTACAGCGAATTATGTAAACACATAAAAATAGAGTCAGCCGAGGTACCGATGAAGTCAGCGGTTCAAAAATGTTTCTTCATATTACTGTGATATGTCAGTAGGTATTAAAAAAGTATATATTGTATACTCTATTTTAAAGATATCTACAATTTGCAGACGTAGATTTCTGATATAGGAGAGGATTTATTGACTTCATTTAATAAGAGTTTTTGATAAAACAATTCCAAGTCAAATGTGGAAACAAAGAGATTTCTTTGTAGTTGCTGTTTTTTACATGATTAGTATTTGTCAAGGGTGATAATAT